CGAGAGAGAGGGGAGGTGGGAAGGCAATGGCGTGCGCTCGCCTCCGCCTGGCGATCTTATAGGCGGGGCGGGATCGGGGCGGGGCGGGGCGGGGGTGGATGGGAATTGAAGGAGGAGGAGGAGGAGGAGGAGGCGGAATTGGCGTCGCCTTCCTTGCTGGGCTCCGTCACGACGGACTGGCCGCAGCGGGGCGGGGAGTATTTTCGGACTGCTTTGACTCGGCGCCGTAAATGGCAGGCGGTAAAACGTTTCCTTCATTCACTCATTGACAGCGGATCTCATTTGTTTTTTACATAGCTCACCGTTCATGCCGGATACGTTGCCAACCTGGCTGCTTCCACAAATCATTTTTGTTTCTGAGGGAGCTTCCACAAATCTACTTCATGGTAACAATGGCCACACACAAAGAAAAGAGTTTACCTGGAGCATACACTGCTAGGGGACAAACACTGGGCTAGAGAGAAACTCTCTCGCCTCAGATTTTACTTCCACGTAACTTTCGTGCCGTAATACACTAGCCCGTGGCTTGTGCTTGACGTCTGCCTTGCGTATATTTCTCCACGTTCTTATTTAGATTTCATTCAAAAAAGCTGTTATCCGGAGTATATTGTCGTGGTATTCCACGCTCTTTTTAGGTTCGATGTCCGGAGTATATTCTCTTCACATACAACACTTTCTTTCGAGCGGTGCCCTTACGGAAGCTAGCAGCTCCAAAAAAAGTCTTTGTCGGAGCTATGCATCACACGATACACGCCTTCATGGCGCCGCTTTGTTTCGTACCATTATGAGATATGATTGGTTTACGTTGAAGGCTTTTGAAGTATGCATGTTTTGATGTGCCGTGAACTTTGATGGCAATCATCATAAATTACAAAATTTGTAAAAAGTATGCGTGAGTGTTACTCCCTCCTTTTCGGTTTATAGGGCTTAATTCAAAAATCTCACCAACCAAAGTAGTAGATGGTGAGTGGTGGAATATTTTTTGTAGTTTGCAAAAGCACCCAATTAATGCTCTTGTTTTTCTCAAAAAATTATGTTTATCAATGCATTAATTGCAATACATGTATGTATAAAGTACATGCATTGATCAATTTTCTCTTAATACTTGCATGTAATGATTTAATGCACCTTGGAATCTGAATATGTGATGGGGAACAACCAAATTGACCCTTATAAAATGAAAAAACTAAAATTTTGAGATAAGCCTTATAAACCGGAAAGTAGGGAGTACAATGTTTTTGTAAAACAACTAAGCATAAGACAGAAAATAATCTCATCTACATAACAAGCTAGGCTAACCCTCGTTCGAAAAGTTAGTACAAAAAATGAAAATACAAACTCGCGTTTTCAACTAAAAGTCCAGTCCTTACATATTTGTGTAAGATGAGCTAAAGTGCATGGCCCCATGTGTTGCTTGATAGGGATGACAATCTCCATGGACTTATTATTTCATTGATATATGTATTTGAAGGAAAGTTTCGTAGACAATGCATTCCTTTCGAGAAATTGACAGGACCACTGCCTTCCAATTAGAGAAAAAGAGGGTGTTACATTGATCTACACAACATGCAGACTACTCACGATAGAGGAAACAACCAAATATGTGGAAGCAAATATCCGCCAATGCTAGGTTTGTCAATTCTCAGTTGGTCATCCTCTGGCCATATGCGGCGGTTCCTCTGCTTCCTAATGTTCCAGGGGCAAGTATATCATATGATCCCACTGCACTCCCTCGTGCTCCGTTCGGAGGCACTCGCGAGGAACCCTTCCCATCACAGGTTTACGGAAGAATCAACGTTAGGCGGGCTTGGGATGGTCAGCCACTCGGAGGCATTGAAAGTCCTCCATACTTCCGTAGACAATTTATTAAGATTATCGATTGGGTTTAAGGATGAAGTCATCAAGAAAAATATATGCATTGAGATTTTGTAATGAATGACAATTCTTATGACACAACAAATTGCAGTGAAATGTATACGAAGGAATGGACCATAGGTGACGCCTGAAGTGTATTGGGTGGATTTTCCCAAGTCCACCGTCCTTCTTCGCTCATGTCATTTCTCCCATCTCATCCAATGACATTTGCTCTCTTTATCTTTGTTGGGACCACTAGTACCGTACAATGAGCATGTTGATCCCTTCACAAAATTGCTTAGCGAGATTGAAGCATGACATTGCGTACATCGAGATGTATGCACGACCACTCTGATCAAGAATTCTTTCCCAGCCTTCGACAAAGCCGCTCTTTCCATTCATGTATACGTTGCCATATTTTATCTTTAATATATTCAAAATCTTTGCTCTTCGATGTTCCTATGCCCACTAGGTACAGTGTCTTGATTATTATTTTGTGGGGACATGTCTTGATTAATTAACTAATCAATTTGAGCCTTCCATGCTTATAAACGTTAAGCAAAGTGTGTAATTTTATGTTATGTAAGGATACGATTGCTGGTTTGAAGTTTTAAGTCCAATGGGTAGTTTAAAGATTTTCAATAGTCTTTTTTCTTTGTGAGGGTCTTCTATGGATTTTTGGAATTTGGATGTAGGTGCACCTGATTAAGAGAAAAAAAAGTAAAAATTATGAAACTTTTGCTGGAACAAACATTATCCAGTGTATCATTCACGTGTAAAGTTCCACGACAAACTGACTTCTTGTATTGTTGGCAAAATAGACAAAATTGAAACTACGAACTGTGTGAATAGAAAGCTTAATATAGTCTTTGTTTTGTTTAGATGTCACAAAAGTTACCTTTTTACCTTTCTTTTGCAATTCGGATACATGTGCACCCATGTTCCAAGGTATACTTTCGAGGTTTTTAAGGCCTTGTACAATGCTAGGTGTTTCTGGAGGAGCTTAGAAAAATAAACTGGATTTTTCTGAAGCATTGATGCCTATTTTTACAGAAAAGATGCTTAATTAACTGTCTAACATGTACAAATAAGCACCGGTGCTTAAGAAAAGTCTGATTTATTTCTTCAAACACCTCTCCTAAGCACCTTGCATTGTACAAGGCCTAATAGCTAAGCAACTCAAATTTTGAGTGAAAGGTCTTCAATAGTTAAGCAGTACAATCTCTAAGTCTCACTGTCGCCCAGCCCCGGGGATCCAACCAGAATTCCTCCACAGATAGAAAATCGTTTTGTGACGGGGGTGGAGAGCGAATAGCCAATGTCCAGTGGCAGCCGCGGCTCGTACCAACGCACAGCGACACATGCCAATTCTAAATTGAACATTCGTGCCGCCTTTGTGAGTCTAAATTAACTCAATCAACTCTAATCATACATGTCCCCATTTTGAATCGACGTAGCACCACGGACGATTACGTCGACCCAACGAAATATAAAAGGAAGTTGTGACGATTACGAATGAATGAGAACAGAGTCAAATCATCGGTTGGCCGGGGGGAGTAACATGGTTGGAGTGACCGCCGTCGGTCGCGTCATCCAAGCGTGCTATTCCGATTCAACAACTCCATTGTTTGGGAGGGAAACAAACCAATCCGATCCACTGCGCGCCTTCGGAGCAGCTGTGATTCGAAGAGATTTTCTAGCCCCGCAGAACAGAACACACGGCCTCACGGGAGTAGTTACACTACTGCTAGTAGTAGTATATGTCCCCACCTGCCCGTGGGCCGAAGACGGCACGTTATTGCGTGACATTCATTTTACTACTGCACGTGCTGGTGGGAGGATGCTGGTGTCTGTTTCGGATTTGGTACGTGGCGGGGTACTGCCAGTCATTGGTGCTACTGGAGTAAAATGCACCACACTGAGCAGACATAAATCCTGTCCGCTCAGTTGATCACATCGTCCAGCACAGCAGGACGTGATGCTCCGGATCTGCTGTACACCCGCACAGCGCACAAGCACGTACAGTACATCAGAAACGGTAAATTGAATAGAATTCATGACGGCCGAGCATCAGAAACATGGGCTTGCGGCTCTTTGTCCAGCAGCAGCTGCAATTGGACGGTGTATCGATCTTGCGACGGATTTGGTGATCG